CGTCCCAACTCTGTGTCTCAGGTCCAAAACGCAGAGTTCATCTATGTGTTCCAACTCTGCGTCTCAGGTCCAAAACGCAGAGTTCATCTTTGCGTCCCAACTCTGCGTTTCAGATTTACAACGCATCGCGGCCTGTGCGTTCAGCCACCCAAAATAGGCTCAACTCTGCGTTTTTAGTCTAAAACGCAGAGTTCGGGCCCAGAACGCCATTTTCGGCGTTTGACTCGTTCAAACACGAACCGAACAGTTCCAGGAACCGTTTCCCCCCAAGATTTGAGGGATTTCCGCCCTACTTAGGAGCGGATTAAGGGGGCAGTTACTACCCTTAATCACATATAAATACGAGAAACTCAATTGAGTTAAGGGATCAGATTTTGTCTCATCAACGGAGGGAGATTCGGTCAAGAGCGGGCTTGGTTGATCGGAGGCTGGCTTTTTGGATCTGAAGCTTGGCAGCAAAGAAGAGCCTTCATCCTTCGACTGGGATTTTGGAGATCGGCAATGGGAGCTTCTTCATCCTTGGCTTATAACCGACTTTCGGTTAAATCAACTCTTCCATAGAGTTTCAAACTCGTTCAGAGTTATCAACTCCGTTCAGAGTTATCAACTCGATCAGAGTTCAAAACTTGCTCTGCAAGTTCTTCTAAAACTCACTCTGAGTTATTAACTCGTTAAGAGTTATTTTCAAACTTGCCACGCAAGTTCTTCACAGCGTCGAATCGTGAGGAGAAGACATCGTTCCAGTGAAGCAAAACATCGGATCGTCAACGGAGAGCAAACTCGACGCGAGCATTCGAGGGAGGCACTCCATCGCCACCGTGAAGAACCCAGAATTAAACAAAGAGGAGAATCAAATTCATTCTCCTCTCTTTTGTAATCAGGAAATCCAAATTGTAATAAATTTTGAGAGAATACAAGTCAATTTTCTTTCACTGTCTTTTTACTACAAATTTTCCCACGAACACACACATCATTGGATTTGTTATTAAAATTGTTCATTAATGTGATTTCTTGAGCTTTTTATCTATAATTGAGACATATTAGATATATTGCACACATCATAGTACATCTATCTAATTATTTGATATCATTTAATATCATTTAATGTGCAAGTTAACATTTCTGGATATTGTGTCAAACTATTTTAAGAAATATCAAACGCTACAAGAGGTAAAAGAGGTTAGTCAATTAATGTGACATAATAATAATAACATCATTTAAGTATTTAGGTTGTTATCTGTTGCTAAACTAATTTTGTCATTAGAAATCTAAAATTAAATGAGACATTAAACTCCACAGAATATAAGTACATTAAGTATTTCAATACTTTAATTTTTTTTATATTTTCTAACCTATCATGGATGGATGTATTATATTTTTTAATATGATGCTAATAACAACATATAGTACTCCTTATTAATTATCATATGTCTACCATACAAAATTTAAAACAAATTTATAAACTTGACAATATTAAAGAAAATTTGAAAATCCAAATAAAATAATTTAATTAAAAATTAAAAAAGAAATGCGCTTTTTCTTAGCATGGGCCGAGCCACATCTTTTAAAAAAAAATAACCAAATGCTACAACTATGCCAGCTTGCATCTCTTATTCCCCTAAAAAATACTCCCACGCATTTTAAAAAATAACCAAATACTACAAATATGCCAACATGTAACTCCCATGTCTCCTGCGGTTTTTCCTTCTCCGCTACACCCAAATTATGGATGACCCCAAAAAATCTTTATGCACATGCAATGCACGTAGTTAAATATCATGATTAAGTATATTTTAAAGAAAGTAGGTTTTATGCATGTGCAATGCACATTGTCAAATATCATGATTAAATATATTTGGTTTATTTCCTTACTAAAACTTTATTTTGGCAACATGTTCAATATTTACAGAAAATCTTTTAGAAACTGTGCTTTGCTCGGGTCTAAACACTAGTTGCTTATAATTTAGAAGGAGTAGATACATGCATTCAATCGAAACACTATCCCATAAGGTAAGTGAACACTGTTCTAGGATTCAATTAACAATGCAGCATGAACAATTGCTGGTGTCAAGAGTTTAGTAGTAGGACTTAGCGTAGATTTTTAACAACTTAGGGTTTCTTAGTCTCCGCTGATGACTGATTGCTGAGTGGAAGAGAGTCCTGCACACATGCAATACATCAGAGGATCGAAGTTGGGTTCTCTAATAGTTCCTTCAAGCTAGTTGTGATCCGAATGGGAAAAAATAAGTTAGTTCTCTTAAGTGTGCAGAATTTTTCATACCTTCATGCAATAGGTAATGTGCCTATGTATACTAGATCTAAAATGATATTTGCGTAACTTTGGTCGAGTCCAGTCAGTCGGCTAAATCAGTTGATACTTTACAAGTGTCGGTAGCGGGTGGTATGAGTCAGCATTATATTTATTATGACGGCGACTGAGGGGTCGTGCCGCTAGTGTGGTCTGATGAGTCATTATAACTCCAGAGGAGGTGTAATGATGGCTTTGACCACGAATTTCATGTGATAGTGACTGATTGTCATTGTTAAGTTTGAGAGGGAACACCTTTTGTCTCAGTTCTTTGAGAGAGGTAGAGTGAAGACGCCTGATGAGCAAGGATGCCTCAGATATCTAAGACATCTTCGAGTAAGGACATTTTTCTGGTCGGCCTTCCGAACGAGGACTAGTGAAGATGCCTTTTGAGTCGGCCTTTATAAGAATTGGGTCGGGCTGGTATCTAATTGATCGAGGCATGTGTCGTTTTCTAGAGTGAGATTTATACTTAGCCGTTTCAATGATATAACAACAGTGTTTGAAGATGTGAAATAATATTGTGGTAAGAATAGTGTTTTTCTTTTTAAAATACCGAAATAGGAAGAGTAACTCTAATACTTACTATAGTAAGAATAATGTTTATTGTAGAATAAACAGTGATTTTAAGATATTACTTTTAAGTTATAAGCAATAGATATGTGCATTCAATCAAAAAAGCAAATATATATTTGAATCTTATTAATAGGTACAATACATAACGGGATAGAATATAATCTTAACGGGTGTTATTATGAGGACCTCTCTCTCTCTCTCTCTCTCTCTCTCTCTCTCTCTTCATTTGGTTAAAAGTAAGTCTTATCATTATATATACTAGGAAATCCACTCACATGACAATGATACTCTTTATTCTCATCCTAGAATTTTCATATTTAATTATTTATAGATTTTTCAATTTCATTTGAAAGAAAATTCTTGGATGCAATCTGCGAAATAAACATTCAAAGTTTTCATCACAAACTTCAGTTTGTCATAATTCAAAATTTTTTACTTTACTTGTTAAACGTTGTTTATGAGATATTTCCAAAATAGTAGTGTTGAAACTTAAAAGTTTGGTTGGCATGGGCCGGGTCGACCCGCAGGCTAATTCGACCCAGGCTTTCATGAGTCACGACCCGACGTAGCCCATGGTAGGCCGAGCCCGACCCAGTCTATGATATACTCTAGTCACAGGTGGGGTTAGGTCCAACCTTAGGCTCGGGTTAGAGAAGTAGGCCCAGCCCACGCCCGACCCGACCCATCCTGATCGGACACGACCCATGATTTTTTTTGAAATTTTAGTCTGACACAAAATTAGCCCATCTTTAAAATAAATAAGTATAAATCTAGTGTATCACTTGTCGAGTTGAAGAGTTTACGACTACTCTTTTTATTTGGGCTGTTTGGGAAACTTCTTCATAGTTTTGTATATGAGGTTTTCCATAATGACCCTGATTTTATATGTTTCTTGTAAGATGCTACACTTTTAGTGTTTGGATGAATCATGTTTTTAGGAAAATTTGATATATAACTCATTTTACTTAATATGATAAGCAAAAGATAGTCTACTGACAAAACCGATGAACCTAATAAAAATACATATTTAAGTTTATTTTATGAAATGAGATGTAACTAGCGTCTTTTTAGTGTGTGTTTTAGAAAAAGAAAACTGAATCTTTTTTCACAATAATAAGCGTATTTGCACATACAAAGACATGTGAAATTAAGATTAATTTTTTATCTGAATAAATCTTTCCCTTAAATATTATTTATGTTGTAAAGACTCAATGTTTGTAACTTAGTTATACATATCAGTGTAGGAAACATAATTTAGCAAGAAATTAGAGACAAATAATCCCACTATAAATTTTGAGTTACATTTTTTTATGTCGTACATGATATATTTCAAATTTTCAAATAAAGTAATAAAGATATTATAATATTTAGTAGAATAAATATGAAAAAAAATCACAATTAGTGGTATCCAATGAGTAATCCAATGAGTAATCATATGATATATTTATGTTTAAAGGGGAAAAAAGTCATGCAATAGCTATTTCTTATAGATGATTTTATGGGTGTAAGGGATACAACTATATGTTTTGTTTCTATCCTTAAATGATATTCTATATAGCTTTTTTTATTCAGAGTTAGAAGTTCAGTGCTCATGAATAAAAATCTTGTTAACAAGTCCTTTAAAAATATCTTAACGATTAATGCTTCTATTATAACAAAGAGATGACATTTATTTTCAAACAAAGATATAGTTTAATAAATACTAATACAAGGAAAGTTAGAAAATAAAAAAACTAAAAAGGAAAAAAAAATATAGATCATGGGTTGACCCGCGACCCAAATCGCATTGGACCGGGTCAGACCCTGCCCAGACCCATGCGGGCCGTGGTCTAGGCTAGGTCCAGTCCCTGGTTTAGAGTGAGAGAAATAGGCCCGGTCCACTCTGACATATTAGGACGTAGTCTGGTCCGATTTGGCCCACGGACCTGAACCGGCTCGGCCCAAGCTCAACCCTAATTCTTGAAGGTGTTGTTTCTAATTTATACAATTTAGAGGAATTTTGTACTCCAAAATTTTTATTTTATTCAAACAGCTGCTTTGCCTCGACGGCGATTTTGCTGTGGAGAGCAAAACCGCAAACAGCTTCATGAACTCGTCGCTCGCTCTTTTCCAATACTGGAAAACTCGGACCCCCAAAAAGTTACCTCGAAAGTAATTTTTTTATTTATTTATCCCGAGTCCATATCTCCATTTCAAAAAAGAGAGATTTTTGAAGAAGAAGGAAGCACTTTACAATCTCCAGAGAAAAATACAACGGTAAGTATCGTTTTCTCTAATTATTTCCTTAAATTTTTTTTTTTGCATCTGGGTCTTCATGAAACCGAGTCTTAGTTGTGCCCATGTATTAGTTTTCCATTTTTGTGAATCTTGCTGCGTCCATTTTAGGTTTTGCAGGACTTTTATTTGTTGACGTTTGGGATTATTTTTTCTGCGTAAATTTCTCTGCCATAATGGAAATTCCCCATTATAACATTGAGATGGATGGGTGTAAATATTTATAATATTTTTGGATTGGATGTCAACTTGTTGGTTGTTACCAAAACCCTACTCATTGTCATATTTGAGCTCATATGAGGAGATTAATGCAAACTTATCTGGGAAGGGTCCGGCGTGAAGAGGAAAATCAGATGAGGTCCTGGGATAGGAAATGCTATTCACGAACAAGCCCAACACCCAAAATTCACCACATTTTCCTTTAACTTTTGACTCCATAACCACACAATCAATAGGGTTACAAGGGATTTTACGTGTCGAATCCGTGTAGGGCAGTTATGGATATATGGAAAGTAATAAGATGACAAGTAGATGAAGTGAAAAAGGTGAAATGTTCACCTTGCCGTTGCACGCGACATCATGAACTATTGTACATTTTTTACTAGAGTGTTTATAAGGTAGCATAGTCGGTATTGACCATGTCTAAAATATTTGGAAATATGGCTGTGATTCCTTTTAAATCGCGTGGAAGACCCTTGGTGATGGTATGGGACTAAAACCGTTCACATTGCTCGATGCTTACTGCTCGGATTTAATTGAAGGCGTCATTTTAGGTTCAAAAGCTATTATCTCAGTTTTACGCAAACTTTTTCTTAAATATCTAAATCTTCGTCCATTCTTTTAACTATTTTTGGAAGGATCATAATGTTAGTTTGATCTATCGGATGTTGCTTTCTGATTTTGATACTTGTGTCATCAATGCCTTTGTGGAGTTGCCCGTCCGAGATATATATCTGGTGAAGATTGTCAATCTAAGTTCTGAAGTGACCATCCTTGTATCAAACTTTTTTGAAAGTGACTATGTTCACCTTCAGTTTCTACTAAACTAAAAAATGGTGATTGACCAATGATGGGGCTATTTATTTACTCTTTAGATGTGCTTAAATCATTATTTATTGTGCAGCTCATGTTAATGAAAATCTGTGTCCTTTCAATATGACTAACTATTAGTAGGAAATCTCACTATCTTAATCAGTAAGAAAATCACCTAAAGGATGTTGCTTTGTACTGACAAAGGGGACAGAAAGAATTCTGTAATGTTTGTCTTTTGCGTTTGTAGAAGGCAGATGTTCTAAGATGATAACAAGGCGAGCAGCCAAATTATTAGAGAGCTCTGGAGCTCCCATCTCAGATGCTCTTATCTCCATTACTCAAAACAAAGAACGGAAGACGCTTGTAAATGGCACCAATGCTGATACCGACTTCAAGCTTCAGAAGAAGCTAAACACCGAGACGTTTGAGCTTTACTTGGAGTTAGTCTCTTCTTTCCTAACTTTAGTAAATGTCAAATTACTGCTCTTATACCAATCTTCTGAACTGCGTCTTCTCTTGTTTTGGTAGGGATTTGTGGAGCAGGATCTCTGTGGAGAAGAGGATTTCCTTTGCATATTTTGATAGTTTATGGTTTTCTTTTTACAAGGATGGGTCAGAAAAATCTAAAGTGCTTCAGTGGATTAAGAAGGAGCAGATCTTTTCCAGAAAATATATTTTTGTTCCCATAATTTGTTGGTAAACATTTTTTTTTCCTTCAATCAAAACCATTTGAAGTTCAACTAAACTTGCAGAATTCTGTCTCACAACATTGGATCCCTCTTACATAACTCTTTGTTATCAAGCTGTTGTAGTGTAGACATCTTTTGTATTCTGCTCTTCTCTTTTCCTAAAATAAAGTTACAACGTTCTTATTTTAATGAAACATGTAATGCAATTTATCACTTTCTATATTCTTAGGAGACATTGGAACCTCCTTATCTTATGCCACTTTGGGGAGAAGAGAAAGTCGAAAATCAAGCAACCGTGCATGTTGCTTTTAGACTCACTTCAGAATTTGAATCCAAAAAGATTGGAGCCTCACATAAGAAGGTCTATTGTTGTTTTCTTTTCTCTTTTTAGTGTTACAATCTAATTTAAATAAGATTTAGGCATGATAGGCATGATTTGTCTTGGATCTTTTCAGATTTGTGCTTGATATATATAGATCGGAGGGAAGGAAAGAGCCAGATGAGTTCATATCTAAAATCCCTCTTCTAATTCCCAAGGTGACAACATTCTGAACGCATACCTTAGAATGTAACTATACGCTGCCTTGTTCCTAAACTCGGGGATAACGCTCCTCATCTATATCTTCAGTTGCACTTAAGACCCCTCAAGTAATATTACTAGCACTTAGCGCCAGCTGCGCCCTTAATCTACGAGGGAGAGTAGTGTTATCTGCAATTTATCCTTCTAAGCAATCTCCAGTGTTGCTAAGTGCTAATAAATTAGTTAAGGGTGTTAGGTAACAGGGTTATCTACAATTTACCCTTTCTAAAAATTATGGATTATCGATTTGCTGTTTGCAGGTCCCTCAGCAGAGAAGCGGTGAGGAATGTGGGATCTTTGTTCTTTATTTTTTGTACCTATTTCTCCAAAGTGCACCCGATATATTCTCAACAGAGGGCTACCCTTACTTTGTAAGCTTTTGTCTTTTGATTGTGGATACCCACCATCCTTTTTCCTGGGCCCAAAATTTTTTATTCATGCGTTGGTATTTTCCACTTTAAATCGATGTTCACTGGAATTTTAACCTGGATTGTTTCGGTGCCATCTTAAAATCTCTTACACTGTACAAGAACTTCGAAGTTGTGATTAGGATTGAGAGCGCTATAACTTATACTCTTAACTACTTTTAGCTCTGGCCAATTTCCTATTTATACTTATCGGTCATGTAATTTAAACTCATTGCACTAAAAAGCAATCCTCCAAAACTCCCCAAGTTTCATTACATGATTTATTTTCTTTTGAGCTTAAATGTATATCAAAGAGCCAACATGAGGAAACATTACCTCTTATTTATATGATAACAAGCTGTTTAGGATGTCAGATACAAGCAAATACGGTTTCCTGTTAGCTGTACTAACCTAGTCTTGAATATTTTTCCTTTTTATAAGTGAAAATATACTTCAAATTACATGACCAATTTCGTCTCCTTATTGCATTATATTTATACCCAAACAGTATATCGCCCTTTCTTTTGCTTGAAATAGTTTGCAACGAATTTTGCTACAATTTGCATTTGCTGTGGCAGCTCACTGAAAATTGGTTCAAATTGGAAGACTTGGAGAAGTTTGGGATAGAAATCCATAAATCATGCCAGTAGGTTTCAGCTTCTTGCTAGTAGCTCTTTTATATGAAATAATTCAATGATTATGAAACCTAACTTCTAAAGTTATTGATGATGGTCTTTTTTTTTTATCTGAACTAAAGGAGCAAGAAGACCATGGATATCGATTGAAGGGAATATCACAAACCAGAGTGGGAGCTCTTTCTTCAATCTGTTTGTGTTCGGTTTAGTATACATTCATAGTGATGAACATTGTGCATTGATAATATTCTGATGTAAATCATTTGCTGAGGCAAAACTAGCTGATGCCCAGTTTGTAGGAACAATTGTTCCCTCAGTTTCTTAAAAAAAAATTGTACTTGACTTGGTATTTTATTTTATTTTTCTTTCTTCTGGCTTCATTTTTAAATTATCATGTGTACATTGAGTAACACAATCTCTGAATTATGTTATGAGTGAGTTTGTGCACAAATCTGGATTGTTTATCTTTGATAGTTTGAAAGCTTTCATACTTCGAATTTGAACCTTTATCAGAATTCATACTTGATGTTGCCAGTAATACGTACGGAGGGGTTGTTTCTATGTTGCAATTATAATTATGACGAATGGTGTGGGTACAAAATTTACTTCGAAATTCAATGTTTGATTAGTTGCGGAAGGTAAAATTTTTATATTTAATTTTGACGGAGGAAATATATTTTCATGGCAATCCAAATATTTATTTATATGAAATTGTGAAATGATCGTCATTTTTGTAGTTGAAGTTGTTAGGATTGTGCCTTTGATTCTTTGTATAACTTCATGAGAATTAGATAGGATTGAAGATCTATCATGATTAGGAGATTGACTATCATCATGATTAGGAGTTTGAATTCTATTCTAATTAGGAAGTTAGGCTAGATATAGAGTTAATTTCTCTATATATATTCTTCTATTGTTGGAGGAAAAACCAAGCAGATGAGAGAGAGTGCCAATATTCTTTTAATCTAGGGTTAGCAGAGGATGTAATCTGATTCAAGAATATTGTGCGAGAGACGAGGGTTTCGTATTCTTTGTCCGTGAAAAAGATTACATCATTGGGAGAGGGTTTTGCAGTCTTTGTCTGTTCAAAAGATTGTAAGGAGAGGGTTTTGGAGATAATATGAGAGTTGGTTATGTATGTGAGATTGAGAGATTGAGAGACGAGAGTTAATTGGTTCCTCTTGTAGTTCTCCCTGATACATAGTGGATTTCTCGTATTGTTGTCCGTGGACGTAGGTCGAAGTTGGTCGACTGAACCACGTAAATCTCGGTGTTTTTTCTTATTGATTGTGGTCGTTTTTTTATCTTGTTGATGATTGTTGGTTGACTTTGGAATTGTGCAAATCGTAGTAGGCGATGAGACTAAAATTTTCCAACAAGTGGTATCAGAGTCATGATGATGGATCTGGGAGTGAATTCGCAAGATAGACGTCATACAAAGGTGAAGATCGTCGGCGTTACAAGAATCAAGATGAAAAAAAGAAAAAAGGAAAGTATTGTAGCGGCGGGAACACTGTTTGGGTGAGGGTTTGGTTAAAAAATTATCCAACGGTGCAAATTAATTTGTTTTCTGATCGAGAGTTTGGAGGCGGATTTCGACTATACAGGAATTGATTCCTAGGTTCTGGAGTGCTCTGAACGTGATGGGAGGGTCTGATTTTTCAGATTATGCTCAGACTAGTCAGAAAGTGTTAAAAAGTTCTGATAGTGGTAACGAGGCAGATCTAATGGCAAATAAGGCAAACGAGTATGTGACAGATGAGACTGGTATAGAGAATTAGATGTGATTCGAGCAGTAGAGTTTTCATCATATAATTATTTAGAGTCATCGCGGGAGCAGTAGTTGGTTGGTGTGTAGACTCGAAGAGAACAGTGTCAGATTAAGTGGAGCTTGCAAGCAGGCACGACCGAGTGACACACAGAGAGATGGAGATGTTGGTATTGGACTTGAAGACGATGAACGCTCATATTCGGTCCAAGCTAAGTGATGGAGGAGATGGAGGTATCTGGCTAGTAGTGTGGAGTAGGAGAGGTGCACCAATATGATTCGAGACGAGTGATGTAGGTGGAGTACGAGGACAAGCATGGTTGATTTACTTCTAATGTCAGCGGTGGCGAAGATCTCTTAGTGTACACAAGCGAGGTGGAGGTGTCACGGCAAAGCAGATGATAGCGTGGGTCACGGGACATCCTAGTTGGATTGCAGGTGCTTTGATTTGAAGTGCGAAAGGAGTAGAAGACGCTAGCAGGAGAGGTAAAGTTTCAAGGCGGCAAATGGTAGATCTTCGAGGTGGCTTGGGAATCAAATCCAAGGTGGAGATTGTTAGGATTGTGTTTTTTATTATTTATATAACTTCATGAGAATTAGATAGGATTGAGGATCTATCATGATTAGGAGATTGAGTCTTATCATGATTAGGAGTTTGAATCCCATTCTAATTAGGAAGTTAGGCTAGAGATAACGTTTTGGTTTCCCTATATATGTTCTTCTATTGCTAGAGGAAAAACAAAGCAGATGAGAGAGAGCCAATATTCTTGTAATCCAGGGTTAGCAGATGACGTAACCTGATTTAAGAATATTATGCGAGAGGCGAGGGTTTTGTAGTCTTTGTCCGTGCAAAAGATTACATCATTGGGAGAGAGTTTCACAGTCTTTGTCCGTTCAAAAGATTGTAAGGAGAGGGCTTTAGAGATAATATGAGATTATGTATGTGAGGTTGAGAGATTGAGAGGAGAGAGTTGAGTGGTTACTCTTGTAGTTCTCCCTGATACGTAGTGGATTTCTCGTATTGTTGCCCGTGAACGTAGGTCGAAGTTGGTCGACTGAACCACGTAAATCTCGGTTTTTTTTCTTATTGATCGTGGTTGTTTTCTATCTTGTTGATTGTGGGTTGACTTCGAAACTATGCATATTGTAGTAGGTGGGGAGACTAAAATTCCCCAACCGAATTCCATCAGCTTGACGAAATCATATAGAGGAACTCCCGATTTAGACTATCATAAAATCGAGTATCAAGGAGCCACACAGGACACATATTGTACATATCCAAATATACTGAAGTATTTTAAGTGTTTGCCAAGAATTTCTTATACAAATATTTTTTTTCATCTTTCAATCTTTTCATATTCAAGAAAAAAAAAAACTTTTCTGAATCAAAACGGAACAACTTCATGCACGCAACTCATTTTAAAAAAAATGTAAAACTATTGGGATAAGTTAATTAAAATAAGTTTTCAATTGATTTTCCTACAGATAGCACGTGATAGCTTCGTGCTTGCAACTTGTAAAAAAATGCAAAATAAGTGTTCAAGAGGTTCTCTATAGTTTATTTCTAATATTTCAAGCCATCTCTTTTGCAAAAACATTTCTTTTTATTTATTTACACATCTCTAAAGTTTGAGGTGTTTTATCCAAAAACGTCACCCCCGTAATAATGCTGGTCTTCTTCTTCGATTAGCAAACAAAACAAATCCCCAAACTAACAAGCTCCGCTCTCTCGGGCCAAGAATCAAGCTTCAAGTAACTCTCTTTTCCTTCAAAATTTCCTTAAAATTGTCAATGTTTCCATTTTTAGTAATTTTATTGGGAGAATTTGTCACCATGAAACTGATTTTGCTGATTCAATTGACTTTTCTCTGCAGATTCCCATCTGGGTCTTCGTCGAACCTCCAATTTTCCCCCCAAATAGAGAGTGGATCTTGCATTGATATTGGCAATTCTCATCTGGGTCCTTGATATTCTCGAAAATTCTCATATTATAATTTTCATTTTGACTAATTTTGGTCAGAGCTCTTCACCGTTACCAAGTTTCAATAAAAAATCTCATCTGGGTCTATAAAAATTTTCATTATTTGTCATCCTTAAAGAATATGATGCCAGTGCCATCTAGATATTAGAGTTCATGTCACAATGAACACCCATTCATTTCCTGCATATCTGAGAGGGGACTTTGATTTAGAATCCGGAAACATCCGAAAAACCCGAAAGACAAAAAATTCATCATCTGATCCTCTCAAGATGATTAAATCATTTAGAAATCAATGTCAATACTTCTACAAGATGCACCCAGTCCTTGTTTTCCTCATCTCCTTGTCATTTGGGATAACCATCCTTGTTGTCCTTTCTGTATATGAAAGCCATTTTAGAATGAGCTTTCGAAAGAGTGATGATTTGAGTTTAGAACCGGATTCTCACCCTTTTACGAATCTTCATAATCTTGTTATGGTTGCTGGCCATTCTATATATACAAGTGAAAGTTGCGGGAAATTTGAAGATGAGAGTTCGTGGTATTTGGAGCCATATCAAAAGAATCCTGGGCAGGCTTCTACATTTGTAGAGCATATTAAAGTGGGGGTTGAGATTGCGGCTAAAGATGATGAGGCTCTTCTTATATTTAGTGGTGGAGAGACTAGAAAAGATGCTGGACCTCGCAGTGAGGCGCAAAGTTATTGGACAGTTGCAGACTCAGAGGGATGGTTTGGTAATTATCAACTTTCTATTGTAGCTTACTTATTGTTTCGTCAAAGCATTCCTCTGATTTTTCTTATTTCAGACATGGTCTCTATGTTTGTTGTGTAGCATGCTTGTGTCATAATTACAAAATTGATTAGATATGCATTTGGTACATAACTTCGTGAAAAATTTCAGGATTCTTTGGGAAGGAAATTGGTTTGAACTCATTTGGATATACAAACATTAATTTTGAAATAGTAGGAGTGTAGTTCTTCAGTTAGTTTAGATTTTCTTCCAGATTACAACGATTATATCAGATGGGGAATGTTAGATTTACTGTTTAAAATGACCACCTTTAGGAAATGTAATCCATAACTTAATGCGTGAAAATAATTTCATAATAGTTGTGCTTGGTAAACCATTTGGTACTACAAAGTGTTTATTGTTGCTGCAAGTGATATTACTCATTTTATGACCATCATTGTGTTGCAATTTTCAAGCAATAGAACAATTGCATATCAGGTGAGTAGAATATTAAGGCAACAACATCATCAGTACACTCTATTCTACAAAATATCACGTGTCAGACGCGTGGACGCTACTTCTCTTGGACATTTGTTTTCCTTGACTAGGACATGTTCATCTAAGAAAAAGGGGAATAGGGTATCCTCGCACTATAAGTAAAAAAAGGTTTACAAAATCACCTAGAACCATAAGAGGAGAACAGTAACATGAAGTGGTAAATGAGTGCTTTACCCCAATGGGCATCCAAACCTATTATCTATGCCCATATATGATAGGTCAATAAGTATTTTCAAAACAACCTATTGTTTCTTAAGTATGGGACCTTTAATACATGCAAATGTATCCCATGGCTGAGTGTTTAAATTTTATGTTGGCAGACAATTCAAAAATGTATCACCTTAAAAACATGTATAAGGTAAAGTATCATATTCTTCTTTTTGAAATAGCTAACTGATGCGAAACGGGACAAGGGGTCTATCAGAATCAGCGATCTAAATCAAACAATGCACCGTTTCACCAAATTTCATGATCTTTGACGGGAAATTAAATTCAAAACAACTAACGTGACAGATGAGTTTAACAAGGTTTGCATCAATAATTATGAATAATTCCAATCTCGAACAATTTAATTGTAATATTCATTATCATTGCACAAGTTCAACAATCAATATCAAGTTTTAACAGTCACATGCTTAGTTACTCTCAACTCATAAATATAGTCTAAGCAGTGAATATATGATAAGAGTTTAGAGATGAAATATTCATGCAATTAACTAATAAAATTAGATTAACAGAAAAATATAAAGAGAAATTGATACCATCGTCGGACTGAACAAGCCTTGAATCAAGTATGAGGTACTAACGGGTCCATTGCCACCGTGGGTTTGGATTTGAGCTGAAAATCAGATCCAACTGAGCCAACCAACCAGGTTGGGTCTGATCAAAACAAATTAGATCCAAGTCACCCCTCTCTGCGTTTTCTTTGTTCTGAGGAGCGGAGAGAGACAAAGCGAGTGGCGGTCTATTCGATGATGAGGGCGAACGACGAGCGGCCAGGCCGGAAAAAGTCACTGTGTCGCTTTCGCGATGGCGAGTATTCCGATGACTGACGACGAGGAGCAGACCGATAGTGGCGGCGGAGCCGGGTTTAGAATCGGCTGGTCGGTGGTGCGATGCTGAGCGGCCGCTAGTCCGGCGATTGTGACTGGAAAGGGTGGGCGGCGTAGCTGCTGCCGGTCGAGCGGGTGAATGATGACGTGCGGGAAACGACGACGAGTGTGACGCTTGTCGAGGATGGGTGAAGCCGGCTCGTCGGAGAAGGAAGGGGTTGGTGGCGACATGGTGGTCGGGGAGAAGAGGGCAACGGAACACGGAGGCAGTCGTCGGGTGGGTCGATTTGCTGAGCGGTTGGCCGGCGCGCAAGGGGCAGATGGCGGTTGTGAAGAAGTATGGGACAGGGAGCGGGTGTCGTCTATATGTGCACGGGTTGGGCGTGGGCAAAGAAAAAGGGAAACACGGCGGCTGTTGAGGACAGAACTGATGAGCAGCTAGCGTGTTGACTAAATATAATTGTTTGCAGTGTGAGGGATGGTGGTGCGGGTCTGCAGATGAGCGTATCTGAAGAGCGGGAAACGGTTGGTGCTGCTTTGGCGGGAGGCGACGTGATGATGGAGGAGGCGGGGTCGCGGGACCTGAGGTGGGTGACTGGTGGTGCGAAGACAGAAGAGAGGTTAGAGGTGAGGACCGCCTGGAGTGGCGGTGGTTTCGGCGGGGGGGGGGGGAGCTGATGGTACGGTGCTCTAGAGGGAGGAGGCGTTGAAGGCGGGCCTGGTGCTCATAGGGGAAAGAGGAGATGGGTCGGTTGTGAGGGGTGTTGTTTACCGTGGGGCAAGGAGACAAGAGTGACGGCTGGAAGAAGAAACAAATGAGAAGAAAAATAATATTAGCCTAGGGTTTCACACCCTTTGGTTTCACAACAAATTATTCAGCTAATACAAATTTCATTTCATTCTTTTATTTTTTCTCAAGTCTCATACAACCTTATTTATAAAGAAAACTACGTGCACATAACGTGCAATAAAAATTAAAACAAAACAACAATCCCTCAAATCACTCAACTACTAAAATTAAATTACAAATCGAAATTCAAATTTCAAATTTTTAAAAAAAAAGTCAAAATATGAAAATTGCAATTCCTTGTCCTCATCACTAACTGTCTGCCGACAGAAGATCTTACTAACCTATTTTGTTTCATATATGATTAACAGATCTATATATGTAGTTATACATAAATTTTATCACATTTTATATGTTCTGATTGGTATTTCTGATATTACTAAATTTCTCTTAGATTTTGAAATGTAAGTAAGTTAGCCTTTTCCAGCTTTATGATTATCTACGTCGATTTTTTTGCAATAAAGCTTTGTCGCGATTGTTATGAACTGCAATATTAAACTTATGTTATATATTGATAGAAAATGGTATTGTTGTTCAGGCAAGAAGGAGGCTGTGAGAGATAGAACACTCACAGAGGAGAATGCAAGAGACAGCTTTGAGAATCTTCTTTTTAGTGTGTGTCGGTTTCGAGAACTAACTGGCACTTATCCTCAGAATATTACAGTGAGTTCTTTTGTCCTTACTATTTTACCTCTTTCTTCCAATTGCTACATGCTTCCATTTTTATGCACAATGACATGTTCCTAACTGTCTCATTTGTGTTGAAAGTTGAAAATCCTAGAAACGTATCTCAGAATTTTGTAAAAGAAAACACTTATGAATTCACAAGCGATAATCTGAAACTGTTGGTAACTTGAGTGTTTTTTCCCTTTTGCTTAGCTGTAGTCCTGAAATTTACCATCCGATAAAAATTGTTTTCTGGGTCTCACCTGCTATACTACTCTTTTCTCTCTGGCGAAATGAATTTTTCTAAAGTAACTTTTGTAGTCATGAGGTTTAGTTCAAAACACAAGTACACATGTGCTTGAGAAATTTGTTTCAAGATGGTGTTATATGGCTTTACAGAGTCCTGGTGCGTCATAAAAGAGAGTAGAGATTTTGGAGGTTCCATTGTCTTTTGAAGCGAAATTGGCTAAAATATCAGATTAGCCTAAAAAGTGACACATTTATCAGTTTAGTCTATAAAGTGACGCTGACGACAGTTTAGCCTAAAAAGTAACAAATACCATGACAAATAGGTATTTCCGGTGCCGGAGATAAATTTTAAGTTAAAAATTAAGTAACTTTTACATATAGACACCCTCACTCTATCATATTTTCGGATTTATCTCCTCAAATTTAAAATGTGAAAACTTCTCCCTCTTCCCCCTCCCCTCCCACCTCCCACCATCTCCTCCCTCCTCCTTGCCACCATCTCCTCTATTCTTTTCTCATCCCGATCCTTAGCCTATCCTCTCTCTCTCTCTCTCTCTCTCTCTCTCTCTCTCCCCCCCCTTTTTCATAACCTCCGTATTACTCTCTTCCTCCCCTTTTTCTCCAAATCCATCTCTTCTTAACTCCTTTCACTTCTCTCATCCCGATCCTTAGCCTATCCTCTCTCTCTCTCTCTCTCTCTCTCTCTCTCTCTCCCCCCCCTTTTTCATAACCTCCGTATTACTCTCTTCCTCCCCTTTTTCTCCAAATCCATCTCTTCTTAACTCCTTTCACTTCTCTCTCTTCTTTATCCTCTTTCTCCTCCTTTCTCTCCTCACCTTCACTCTCGCCTAATGCTTTAAGTAGAGTATTCTATGTTGGGTTTGAGAAAGGATGTGGAGGAGGAGGAGGATGGAGGTTGGGGATTGGGAGGAAAAGATAATGACGGAGATAGTGGAAAGGAGAAGATAAGAATGAGCATGAGAAATGATGGAGAAGGAGTGGGAGAGAGGAAGGAACGTTGGGGGTTGGAGGAGAAGAGAATGAAGGAGATGGTGGGAAGGAGAAAGGAGGAGGAGTAGGAAGAAGAGATGGTGGGAAGTGAGGGTTTTTTCACAAATTTTAGAAACTTTTTGGTGGGTTAATCCGAAAAATATGATAGAGTAGGTGGTCTATATTGTAAAATTTACTTTAATTTTCACTTAAAAACTATCTCCAGCACCGAAAATGCCTATTTATCATCGCATTTGTTCCTTTTTAGGCTAAACTGTCACCGGCGTCACTTTATAGGCGAAACTGGTAAATGGATGTCACTTTTTAGGCTAATCCGATATTTCAGCCAAGCGAAATTAGATATCCGAGGCACAAAAACAATCTAAGCTACCTTCAGAATGATGGTAGTTTCTCCAAATTCCCTAGCACAGAAAAGTTACTAGGTGATATTTGGCAGCCAAAAGTTAAATGAAAGATAAGAATTCAACAGAAACTGCTTTCACAATTGTAAATCTTGTTTGGATGATAAAAGTGAAAAGCTAAGGTGGCAGATGATGTGTCATCCACTTTCCTTATGTCCTGTTTGATAGAAGTAAACGATGGAAAGAGAATTTTAAAAATGAAACGGTAAGGAGAGAGTAAAAATTAATTTCTCTCACCCTTATTCATTTTCCATCATCTTTCTCAAAAATTTGGAGAAATTGACGAGGGGCAAAGCGCTGATGATACGACATTCTCTACTTTCTAATCATTCCTCAGTTACTAAACACGAAGAGTAGAGAGTGGAGCCATTTTTTCAATATTTCGTCCGAACACCCTTTAAACAAGTCACATTTAAAACTATCTCATTTCATACATATTAAGATAACGTTCTCCTTAGGTTAATGCTATAAATCACGTTTCAGATGCCTCATCTTCCATGGTATCTTTTGTTATTCTTCCAATATTTCCATCCTTCATACTATCAACCATCTCCTCCCAAATTGTGTATCAGGTTGTAAGCTATGATTTCAAAGAACAGAGATTCTCCCACCTACACCGATCTGCCATTGGATTCCCCGAGCAAAGATTCTCCTTCTTCGGCACTCCAGCTCCTCCTAAATCAAGAGACGGAGCAACGCAAGGAGAAGCCATCGCCAGGGCCCAGTTCCAGCTCGACCCTTACGGATGTTTCGGCACTCTGCACCGGAAGAGGCTGAAGCGGGACCCTTTTCATCGTACCGTTCCATATCCTGCTGGGTGCCCCGAGCTGAGGGATTTATTCAACTATTGTGGTCCAGCGCCTTATCCCGGTGTTCTACCCTGGGGACAGTAGGTTCAACCTCACAGTATTTACTGTGAGGAAAAAGGGCAAAGATAGGAGAACGTTGTAGCTTACGGGGAAACTATCCATGTCTTTTATTAATGGAAGTGAAGTGAACTTAAATGCTCAAAATTTACAAGTTTTTATGTTCTTTGAAGAAAAGTTTATAAGAGTTTAGTGTTTTAGAGTTCACCTCAGTGATTAGATATGCTTCTTTTTTTTTTCTTTTTTTTTTGAGGTAAAAATTGTTGGTAATGTTGATATTAGATCCTCGTTGTGAGTTATTTCTTTGAGCAGCAACTGTCTGGAAAATTGATGGTAACAGGTGATGTGATGCTCTTATCTTTTCTTTTTTTCGGTTAAGAGAGGAATATTTCTTAGATTTACAATAATTTCTTTCTTGTATTCTATTGATTAAGAATAAATAATTCTGGACATACTATTTGGACTTTTGTGATTTTGCCCCCCACATCTTGGTATTTGTGAAGTTATTCCTCAGAACTTGCACGTTAGATCTTTCTATGCCTCCGATTTTAACAATGTTTGTTTCTACAAAGGGCTAAATGTTAAAATTTCCAATAGAGTTGTGGCATTTTCCTGTTTAAAAACTAAAATTGTTAAGTGGTAGGTTGAAAAAAAAATTGTGCGGAAGAATTGGGGTAATTTTGCAGATACGAATATTTGGGGTAATTTTGCGAAAATGGCAGATTTGAGAGGTGTATATACAAACCCCATGAATAATTTGAAGGATAGTCGTGACTGCTACTAGGGCTATACGTAGAGGGGCTATTTGTAATGAAAAATGTCTCCGGGACCCCAAATAAGGGACCCAATGAGGGGACATGTGAGTGTCCCCCCTGAATGCATGATGCACTGCTCACGAACAATGCATCGAACGGTGCATCATGCATTCAGGAGAGGACACTTCACATGTCCCCCCATTGAGTCCTCTATTTGGGGTCCCAGTAGTAGCACTTATTTGAAAAAAAATTAATCTATCATATTCATAAAATCAGAGGACGGGTTAACCCACGTATCAAATCCCAATTAGGTTAAAAAACCCAACTAGGATTTATAGCAGAAGGCAACCACCGACCGAAATGGGTCCATAATGAACCGAGCCTTAACCTGAAAAATCCAAATAAGACGTGCTGCCTGTTTCGCTTCAAGATTCGTGCACGAAGAAAGCGCTCATCTTTTCAGGGTTTTGGGTCTCCTTCCCTCTTCCCCTCTCTCTCTCTCTCTCTAAAACGAACAAAGCGGGGAGAGAAATTCTAGAGAGAGAAACTCTACTTAGAGAGAGAGAGAGAGAGAGAGAGAGAGGGAGAGATGTGGTATCTTTGTGTATTCTATCACCGGCTCTTAGATTACAGGAGATCCGAGGTCGAAGCCCTAGCTGAGCTCTTTGGAGCATGCAAACAGGTAGAGCAAGACGAAGACGGAGGAAAAATCTCAACTTGTTCTCTTCAATGGAAGCTCCCAGAGAATCACCACGCCGATTCCCCTTTCCACTTCGTTTTCTTGCCCTCTGAAGAAACCGCCAGAAAAATCGCCAACCGAAGTAAGCAGTTTTGATCCGTCGGTTTGTCTTTAAAAAGGGTTGGTTTGGATATTTTTTGGAGTTTTTGGTGGAAAAGGTGATATCTTGACTCCTGTGCTTGAGAAAAGATGCTTCTTTTTTCCTTCGCTTCATCCGTTGGGGTTGGATTTTTTACGCGACGCTTAAATCGTAGTTTGAATCTGAGGATTGATTATTTATTTATTTATTTATTATGCTGTCCATGTTTACCAAAAGCAATTCCTTAGGATGAGCTATTACGCTTGGTTATTTTATAGAAACAGCTTGGGAGATTTTAATTTTTAAATGTAAAGTAGCATTTTTGAGAGGTGGATGTTGCTTAGTTAGTTCGAGTGCATCATAAGTTTCCATTGGCATCCTTTTGTGAAAAGTGGACGAGATTTTGAGCAAGTTATTTAAATTATTATGTGTATTAAAATTCCTACTGAAGTTGATAACAAAAGTATATTACGTTAGAAGTCGGATATATAGAGATCTTCCTTGTTTAGCACCATTAATTCTTTGGAGTTGCTAGTTAGTTGTAATGCGATATGGGTGTGCATGTGGTAGGATATTCTCTCGGGGTATGAATGAGCGATGGCCATATGTGATGGTCATGATGAAATGGCTTGAGTGCTGTAGCTAGTGATATTTTTGTGGTGATTTGCTCGCTGGTACTAAGTTATTCAGTGCAGGTAAATTTGACAATTGTTAGAAGCAATCCCTCTAAATTGAGCAATTTAATTGCAGGTATACTAATTAAGGGAATTTACGAACTTTGGGGACATGCAACTACATACGAAGAACTGGAGAAGGCTGTAATTGAGTATCCAGAAGAACGTAAGGTGCCGTACTTGACGTCTGAAAGCTCATTCCGGATAATTGTGGACAGCTTTGGCAAGGTCATTAGCTTTCAAGAACAAACTGAACGTATCAAAGGGCTCAGTTATATACCATTCAAGGTTTGTTTATATATTGCAGAACCTCAACTGAGCACGGTCTTTGTAATGTCTGATTCTTTGACATATTGTAGCTAAATATATCAGGACTCGCTCTTGTAAGCTACTTTTATCTTGGACTATGCCAAATGTATATAATGTTCGTATGAATGTCGCAACACATAAATCTAGATCGGTCTATTTTTCAAGCTTTTGTTCTGAACTTTAACAACGTTATCTCCCTGGCGCATTACGATAAAACTCTCTTAATTCAATCAGGATGTGGATTGCTGCATGTTTAACATTCAGGTTGGATATGCAGATATGTTAAACTTTATTTTAGGGATTTTGATGGAGCGTGAAATGAAGCTTACTTAACCCTTTACATCCTCATGGTAGTTCACCAACAGTAGTTTTCTTTGATTTAGTTCATTTTGAGGATTGTTCCACTTCCACATCCATGTAGTGCTTAGTTTGTCTCTCTTGAGCCACTACTTTGCACTTCCTACCGAATTTTTGCTAATTCCCTTTGTGATTTAACAAGTGAGCTAGTAGTTTAAAGACACGACTTTGTTTTTGATGGATACAGAAGAGAGTCATAGATTGGGTCTTGACTCTTGGATAGGTAGGTTGGATATGTAGATACGTTAAACTTTATTTTTCGCTCATGTGCATACTCTTCATTAAAATTCCCTTATCATCTCTTTTATGTTCTAATTTTGTTTTCCTAATTAATTTTTCCTTATATAATTGATATTTTCTTTTCTTTATTCTTTATATGTGCTTTTATAATTTTGGCTCTTATACAATCATCATAATCTCTTTCAGGGTCGGGTTGATTTGCGAAACCCGGAACATAAGTTTTGGCTTATGGAGACTGATGATTATGGATCAAACAACGGCCTTCCACCTGTTGTGCAAAAGACTATCTTTTTTGGAAGAGAAGTTGGAGCTGCAGATAGAAAGCTTTTGCCAACCTATCAGTTGAAAAGTCGTAATTACCTAGGCCCTACTGCTATGGATGCAGAAATGGCCTTTCTTATGGCTAATCAAGGCTTGGCTCAACCAGGAAAACTGATATTTGATCCCTTTGTTGGGACCGGGAGCATTCTTGTTGCAGCTGCACATTTTGGAGCTATGACGATGGTTTGTGCTTGTTTGGACTATTATTTAGTTTCAATATGAGTATACAATTTAAAATTTAAAATTTTACTAGATATTGTGAAGATTCTGATTTAACTTTTTCCAGGGTGCAGATATTGACATAAGGGTCGTACGAGATGGAAAGGGTCCAGATTGTAATGTTTGGAGCAACTTCAAACAGGTGTTTTTAAAAATTTTCCCCCATGCTTCTAAATGGATTTTCCCGTAACGAGATAAAAATGTCGAATATGGGCAGATTTAACAGTTCTCGTGTTTTCTGCCAAAATCCTTAACATTACTCATTCTTGCAACATGGACAAAACTATTTCGTTGTACATTAAACTTGAGGCAACTTAATTGCCTAACATATGATACATTAAATTCTTGAACCATCATCATTAAAATCAAATTGTTCTTGTGGATGGCTCAGGATGCTGTTATCTCATCTTCTGACATTGGAAGACCATCCTATGGTTAAATCTTTCTCAAATGAGTGTGAGTTTTTTATTATGTGAGGTGGGGGAGTAGGTTTTCTGGCAGGAGCAACAAAATGTGGTGGCCTATAGATTTGTGTGCTTTGCTGCTTCTCTGTCCCTTTCCATTGTACTATGAACTTGGGCCATTTATCTGCATTGCGCCATTGCCATCTTACCAAATGTTGCTTGATACCTGCTTTGAGATGAAAGAGGGTAGAGATAAAGAAGCAAATGAAATCTACTAAGGAAAAACTTAAGCTATTTTCTCCGACTTCTTGACAACAAACATGGCAATGAGAATGCACTTCTCATCTTAATTTAACTTGAGGTATCACTATCTTTGGACATGTTATTGCACCAAAGATGATTGGTATGATGATACTTGAGCTATATTGTCAACTATCAAGCCATGCTATTGTCCGGAACATGATTGCTATTACAAGGTTTTAGCTAGTGGCAATGACAAATCCTTTTTGTCATTAATTATCTTTAGTCATATGTTTTACAATTTCATCTGCTTTTCATCAAATCGTGCCTTTTTTTTTTGCTTCCTAACCTCTATATTGGTCTTTCCACTTACATTATTTCCTCTTTTTGCAGTATGGTTTACAACTGCCAGTTTCATTGTTGAGAGCAGACAATAACCTGCCCCCTTGGCGCCCTGGTCTAAAAGAGGTATAAAGTCATTGCTGTTATTGTCATTATAGTTGTGATCATATTTACCAAGTCTTGACTCCTCAGATATTCGATGCCATAATATGTGACCCACCTTATGGAGTTCGAGCTGGGGGCCGAAAATCTGGGGGCCGCAAATTACTGAAGGGCGTCGTGGGCCCTTACACAGTGCCAGACGAGAAGAGGTTTGATCACATTCCATCAACTGCACCTTACAGTTTAGCTGAGTGCATGCACGACCTCCTCGATCTTGCAGCCAAAATGCTCGTTCTTGGTGGACGCCTAGTTTTCTTCTACCCTGTGGTAAGAGAAGAAGGTTCCACTGATGCTCAGTACCCTGAGCATCCTTGTTTCACTTTAGTCGCTTCTTGTGAGCAGATCCTTAGCTTTCGATATAGCCGACATTTGCTGACAATGGTGAAGACTGGTTCGTATACTGACGAGATAGCTGAATTGGCGAGAAAGAAACATGTTGAGTTCAAAGAGAATCACCTTAAGTGGTTGGAAGATGGTAACTTGCACTCTGCAGTATTCACTCCTGCTGATTCTTTGTGTGGACAATCTTAAGTGGTTGGAAGATGGTAACTTGCACTCTGCAGTATTCACTCCTGCTGATTCTTTGTGTGGACAATCCAAGTTTGATAAGGATTCAAAGCATTCACTCCTGCTGATTCTTTGTGTGGACAATCCAAGTTTGATAAGGATTCAAAGCCAAAATATAGAGGTAAGTATGTTTAGGAGTCGACACTTTTTGAACTGAGGGAAACTATTTGAGGTCAAGGTATCTTCATATGATAAAATTCCCATGAGTAGTTTGACAAATGTGTATCAGCTTGTTTAATTAGCATCTGACATTTGGTGGCTATCTAATTAATCTAGATTTTTTTTCCCATGGGAATTGTAACTTTGAAGGCAAATTGCATGCTTGTCTAGATGCTATGTAATCAAGTATAGAACCACTTAGCTTATTTTTTACAGTAAGATAATTGCAGTAACTTTATCTCTCCTGCTGCTAATCCATATGATGATGTTATCTTTTCCTTTTAAGTGCTATTTTTGTTGTTAATTTGCTCCTTTTTGGTCACGTAGCATAGACCATTGTGTTTTTTTTTATTGTTCAGTTAATTAGATGGATTTTACCACCGACAATTTTGGTACTTATTGCATACTGTAAATTCATTGATAAAATGAAAACTGAAACATGCAAAAAGTTATCGAGTACTGAAAGTTGATGACATCTACAGTTAGGGGCTGTTTGGAACTTTGGATGCCTTTAGGAAACTAGAGTATTTATGACACAAAACAGAAAGTGGTTATCCACCTCACCATTTTTCATTCGAGTGGTTACATTATTTGGTTAGGAATCTTTGTGAATCCTAAAATAATAGTATTACATTGTTTGAATAATATAATGTAAACTAGAGTATTTATGACACAAAATGGAAAGTGGTTATACACCTCACCACTTTCTACAAGGTGTTGATTTTTTAATTATTTTTTTGGACACATTTATGACATTGTGTCAGCTTTCCAACAAAACCACTCTTAATTTTGGTGATTTTTGCTTTCGGTGACACCTCATCAAAAGGGGTAAGCTTTTCATATAAAAGAGAATTTAAACAAACAATGTAAAGTGATGAAAGCTGACATTGGGACCCTTTTTTTTACACTTTCCATCATTGTACAAGGTAAAAACATACAACCAAACAGTCCCTTACTGGTTTTAGTTTTTTTCGCTTTGTCAGCAAGGTCACAGCCCAAACTTGTGTTCTTAATATATGTTCTTCTCTTCTTCTATTTTTTACTTTCTCCCTCGTCTATTTCATCCATTCTTTTCTCCCCTTGTTCACATCTTGAATTTTTTTCCTCCCCTCAAAGCTCCGAAGTACATTGGAAGTAGTTGAAATTAAGTCAATTTAGGAATAAAATCATTTTTGTTATTATATAGATTTTTTCATACTCTAAATAAAATTCTAAAAAATCATCTTTTTCTCTTCCTAACAATATTTATTATTGCTACCAAACAAAAAAGTTAATGAAGTGGAAGAAATATTATTTCCTCTACTTTCAAAAGTTTACAAAACAAACAGAAAAAAAAGTATTTCCGATACTTCCTAATTCATGATTTCAGAAGTAATAGATTTGATCTACTTATTACTTCTAATATTTCCTATCAATCAAACATGCCCCAAGGGGAAAACAGCTTCTGGAAAGAAAATAAAGGTATAGATTTTAGAAAAAAAAATGATATTGTGCTCATTAACACGAGGTGGTGTTGATATATTTTTTCAATGAGAAATGTTTTGATCGTCTCTTTGTAAATTTGATGCAACTATTTAGCATTTGGTTTTTTTTTATAGACCACGAACTTCCATGGTGCAAGTTGGCAACCTGCCTTGTATATTATGTTTATTTCGACTATTAACTTACCATATATTTTATATAATTTTATATTTTTTTCCTGCACTACTGCAAGAAAAAAAAATATACTTGATGAAAGTTCAGTTTGCGCCAGAATTTTATTTTTTCTTTTGATGACGAGGATTCGGAGCCAAAATACAGAGAGGTGAGTGTTCTTACATCTAGAACTTAAATTTGGAACTGAAATAATCTGTGAGATAAATTTTTAAAATGTTAGTCGCATAAAACTAAATTTAGAACAAAATTTTACAGTGTTAGTCAAGTAGAACTCTAACAAAACTAGAATTGTGATAATGGTACAAAATTATCCCACTTTTTTTTATTTTTCTATATAAAAATGAGAGTTCTAGTCTCTCAAATTATTCCAAGTTTTAACTTGGAACTGGGTGGTAAAAACTAGAACTCATGTTTATTTTGTTATTTTTTATTTTTTTATATTTATTTTTCCCTTTACTTCTTTCCTATTATGGTTATCACCATCATTAGACTATCATTATAATAATAATTGTCAATATCTTATAGTCTAACCAAAAGCTATTTAATAGTAAAGAACATTCTTGTAATCAATTATCAATCAATAGTAATAAATTTAAAATACATAAATAGTATTTATATCTTCAAAATACATAAATATATATTTCATGATTATAAAAATTTATCCCACGTTATTTTATTAAAATATCTCACTTCATAAAATTATTCCTATTTATCCCACTAAAATATCCCACTAGCGAAAAATTATTTTACTTTAACAATTATCTCATTTTACATAAAAATGTCCCAATTGACTAACACCCCCTTAGGGATTAATATGTTTTGAACTGGAAAAAACCTACTTGAGATCAAGATGTCTTCCTATGATAAAACCCGCCAGAGTAATTTTCCAAATATGTACCAGTTTATTTAATTGCCATCTGAAATATTGTGGCTAACTGCTGGTTTAGATGTTTATTGTTAAAATTGCAATTTCGAAGAAAATTTTGGATTTATCTGGATGTTGTATAATGTAGAACAACTGAACAAGCCAATTGGAGTACTTTTATAGTGAGATTATTGTATTTAGGGACAAATTTTCAAAAACCGATCTGTTTTGAATTTTATTCTTAAAAAAAAGACTCATTTCAAACTTAATTTTAAAAATCGACACAGTTAGCTGAAACTGAGTCGGTTTTTGAAAAAAAAAGTTCCCAAACTTCACAGGAGTTAAAGTCCCGTGAAGTTTTTTATATAACAAAACTTCACTGTAGGCTGTCTAAAAATCACAATAGATAGCTGACCCCCCATCAAAACACTGATGATGGAAGTTACACTCTGAAGACTTTCAGAATGTTACAATTTAAAGACTTTCACGTAGATCGCTAAAGGTTACAATCTGACGACCTTCACGACAACTGATGGAAGCTAAAGGTTACAATCTGACGACCTTCACGACAACTGATGGAAGCTCTAATCAAACAGCCTTCATAATCAACATCGGGAGTTACAATCTGACGACTCTCACATATCAGAGAGCTAAAGCAAAGATTACAAAATGACGATCTTTGCAACGCATCGACAAAAAGAGACTACAAATCGGCGGTCTCTTCAAATCAAGCTGCGGAAGTCCTCCCCGCACACCAGCATCAAGACGCATCGCGTTCATAGCCACGAACGCAGCTCATACCGCAGCTCAACGCAGCTCCAAGCGCTGCTCAACGCAGCTCCAAGCGCTGCCCAACGCAGCTCTATACCGCTGCCCAACGAGCTCCAAGCGCTGCCCAACGCAGCTCCAAGCGCTGCCCAACGCAGCTCCAAGCGCTGCCCAACGCAGCTCTATACCGCTGCTCAACGCAGCTCCAACCGCTGCTCAACGTAGCTCCAAGCGCTGCCAGACGCAACTCTATACCGCTACCAAACGCAGCTTCACTCGCTGCCAGACGCAACTCTAACCGTCGCCAGACGCAGCTCGCAAACACTGCGTTCAAACGCAGATTTCATTCCAGAATACAGGATTTGCGTTTGACTCGTTCAAACACGAGCTAAACGGTTTCAAAACCGTTTTCCCATGATCTGAGGAGATCACAACTCCACTCAGGAGTGATTTAAGAGGGGCGGTTACATCTCATTAGTCCCACTTAGGAGCGAATTAAGGAGGTGGTTACACCCCTTAATCCCCTATAAATAACTGAAAATCAATTCAGTTCAAGGGGGGGCTGTTGGAACTTCTTGGCAGCGAAAAGAGGATCCTTCATCCTTCGGTTAGAGCTTTGGAGATCGGCAACAAGATCTTCTTCATCCTTGGCTTATAACCGACTTTCGGTTAAATCAACTCTTTCATAGAGTTTTAAACTCGTTCAGAGTTCTCCACAACGTCAAATCGTGAGGAGAAGACCACGTTCCAGTAAAACAAAACATCGGATCGTCAACAGAGAGCAAGTTTGACGCAAGCATTCGAAGGAAGCACTCCATCGCCACCGTGAAGAACCCAGAATTAAACAAATGGGAGAATCCAGATCATTCTCCTCTCTTTTGTAATCGGAATCCAAATTGTAATCGATTTTGAGAGAATATAATCGGAATCCAAATTGTAATCGATTTTGAGAGAATACAAATTAATTTTTCTTTCATTATTTCTTTTACATTAAATTTTCCACAAACAAAAGATGGCGACTCTGCTAGGGACTAGCTTCTCTGACGAAGAAGTGGTGGCGCAATCCGATGTTCATCTCACTGGAACAACCGTCGAAACTCTCGTGGTAGAGTTTGATCAAGCCAAGTTTGAGGAGGCCCTCTCCTCCGGATCCCTTAGCCCCAAGGCTATGCGCAAGATCCACAAAGTCTCCAAAGAGACTAAAGCTCCAACTGCTCCAACTGCAGCCGAACCGCCCAAGGAAGACTGTTCGGACAACCCCTCCCCTGATGGAGTGGGCTCAGCTTCAGCCAAACCCGCGCCAAGACGACGGATATCGGGTCGAAAGATGCCCATGGAGGCGACAAAGGCCTTAATAGATGGCAGGTCGGCACAAACTACAACGTTAATATTACCTCCTTTGATGAGTCCACAACTTTGTCAATCTCTTTAATAGGATGGCAAGTCCAAAAAAAAAAAACTATCACGTTAACAGTTTACATCTGATAGTCAAACTCATCAGATAATGGCTACCGGGTATGTGTCTCTATTCTGACTTGATGGATAGTGGACCAGCAAGATGGTATGTCATGTCTACCCCCTATTTTTTCTTCCCGACTGCTAAGTCTTAATCAAGATTGGGGGTTGTTACTTGAAATCCATTGGATTAAGAGTAACGAATATTTCACATCGTCCGAGTTAACATTACACTTTCTGACGATCATCATCCCGCACAGAGTATGAATACAGCTGGCATCGGCTTTCCAATTTTGTCACGTTAACAATATAATACCTCTGACAATCAACTTATCAATCCTCTTCAATAGGATGTTAGGTGCCTCAAAATTGTCATAATCGGCAATCTTCCCCAGCAAAGACACTAAGTTTTCAAAATCTTAGTATCAAATTCATCGCTTCTCTGACGTAAACTCACTTAGCAATTCTCCCCAGGCGAGACGCTAGTCCCCAAAATCTTGT